GCCTTCTTCCACTGCCAAGTAAAGGAGTAGGTCGGCGTGATGATCTGGCCTCTACAAGATTGGCGGGGTGGTGAGGAAATCTTTGAAGCTTTTGAAAGCTTCTTCGCACTGCTCGGTCCACTCAAAGTTCTTCGACTTCCGCAGTAGGGTGAAGATGGGTCTTGCTTTCTCTGCCAAACTGGGGATGAAGCGAGAAAGAGAGACTAATCTTCCTGCAAAACGTTGGATGTCCTTGACTGTCTGTGGGCTCTGCATTTTTATAATAGCTTTGCACTTCTTCGGGTTGGCTTCAATACCCCTGCTGGTGATCATGAAGCCAAGAAATTTACCTCCCTAGACACCAAAGACGCACTTCTCTAGGTTGAGGTGCATGTTGTGTTTTTTGATCTAGCTGAACACCTCGGCCAGGTCGGCAGCATGAACCTCGGCTGAAGTGGTTTTGACTACCATATCATCGACGTAGACTTCCATATTTCGCCCAATCTGTTGGTGAAAAAATTTGTCCATCAGCCTTTGGTAAGTGGCTCCCGCATTTTTGAGGCCGAATGGCATCACTCGGTAGCAGAAGTTGGCGTGGTCAGTGATGAATGACGTGTTCACTTCGTCCAGTGGGTACATCATGATCTGGTTATACCCGGAGTTAGCGTCTAGAAAGCTAAGGAGGGCATGGTCGGAAGCGCCATCAACCAACCTGTCGATGCTCGGAAGGGGGTATGAGTCTTTGGGACACGCCTTGTTAAGGTCAGTGTAGTTGACGCACATACGCCACTTCCCTGAGTTCTTCTTAACCAGTACCACGTTCGCCAGCCACGTGGTGTACCTGACCTCGCGGATGAAGCCCGTGTTCAACAGCTTTTGTGTTTCGGCTATGATAGCTTCTTGTCTTTCACTGCCGACCTTCCGTTTTCTCTAGGCCATTGGTTTGGCCTCTCCGTGGATTGTCAACCTGTGACAGATAAAGTCAGCATCTATACCTGGCATGTCGGCGCTGGACCATGCAAATAGGTCGGCGTTCTTGGAGATCTCGGCTTCAAGTTGTTGTCGTATCTCCGGGTTTAGTTGTCGGCTTATCTTTGTGCATTGTCTAGGAATTTTATCGACTTCAAGGTCATCTAGCTCGTCAATGGGACTAGGCCGTTCGTCACGGGATTCTGTCCTCGGATCCAGGTTAGTGATGTCAACTTGGGTGATGTGAGCTACTGTAGGAGGGTGACTTTTGTGGCACTCCTCGGATGGCGAGACTTTCAAGCTTTCAGCGTAGCATTGCCGAGGTGTCTTCTAGTTTGCTCTGATGAAGATGATCTTGCCACTACTCCTTGGGAATTTCATCATCAGGTGCGAGGTAGACACCACAGCTCCGAGTTGGTTCAACGTCGGTCTTTCGATGATTATGTTGTAGGATGTGTTGGCCTCAACAAGGAGGTATCAGACCACGATCCTCCTTGAGTCAGGAGAGGTTCCGAAGGTTGTCAGTAGATCCACGTACCCTTGAGTGTGAACTCGTTCTCCTGCAAAACCGACTAGGGGTTCTGTGTAAGGTTGGATAAGGGAGTGAGGAATGTCTAACCTTAGGAATGTCAGCCAGTACAGGACGTCAACCGAGCTTCCTTGGTCGATCAGCGTCTTGTGGACCTCCTAGTTGGCGACTTCCACCGCGATGACCATGGGACCATCCTGGTTTGGGCAGATGCCGATGTAGTCGTCATCCGTAAAGGTGATGGGCGGTGTGTTGTGGTGCGGGGTCGAGGTGGCAGAATGGACATTGTTGATGTTGGCAAATGTCATTTGCGTGCCAAGCTAGTGGAGCCTCCTCCTGCGAAGCCACCTACAATTGTGTTGATAACTCCGCGCAAGCAAGCTGACCCTGTGTCCTGGCTTACCTCGGCCTGTACCGCGCCACCAGTGTTTTGCTGAGAATCAGAGGGTTGGTCCGTGCGAGTCCCCGAACCTTGACTTCGGCCTCATCCTCATCCTTTGTAGCCTCCTATGTGAGATTTCTGTCGTTGGACGTATTGTCCGAGGTGCCCTCCTTGGACGAGTTCCTCGATGCGATCTTTGAGTGCGCGGCACTCCTCGATTGTGTGACCATATTTTCTATGGTACCGGCAATGCTTGGATTTGTCTACACTGTTGAGACTGTGTCCGGGTGGTGGCAGAGTGAGCAGATTGTTGTTGCTGGCCTCCTCCAGAATGTGTACTCGGGGCGCATTCAGGGGGGTGTAGAAGTCGTATCGCCCCCCTTTGTTTGCCCTAGCAGCCTTCTTGAATTGGCTTTCATTGGTGACCTTCATCTTGTCTTTGTGGCCGTGGTCTGGCTTTGCCTGTGATTTTCCACGAACCTGGTCACGAAAAGTAGAGTGCTCTTCCATCTGAATGTACCCTACAGCTCGGGCGTGGAGCTCGTCCATGTCAAGGGGAGATTGTCGACATAGGCTGTTGACGAAAGGTCTTGACTTGAGCGCCATGAGCATGGCGTGTAGGGCGACCTCGAGGTTCAAGTTTCGGATCTTGACCGAGATGTTGGCGAAGCGCTCCATGAACGTCGTCAGTGGTTCGTCATCACCCTGTCTGAGACTGGCCAAGGTGGCTGATGTGACATGGTGAGGTCGGCTTGTCGTATACTGCACCGTGAATTGCCTTACCAGAGTGTCGAAGTTGTCGATCGACCCCACCGGCAATTGTGTGTACCAGGCTAGTGCTGCTCCCTTGAGCGAGGTCAGAAAAACCCTACACAGAATAGCATCTTCATTAGTGTATAGGTTTACCTGTGTAATATACAGATCGACGTGCTCGTCTGGGTTAGTAGTGCCATCGTAACGGTCGATGCTGAGAGGCTTCCATCCAAAAGGGAGGGGCGTCTCCATGATGCCGTTGACAAAAGGATGGCGGCGGATGCTCACCCTATTTCCTGGAGCCTGGGCAGGAGCATTGCTGACTTTGTGGCCTGGCCTATTTGTAGGTACGTGTGACCGATGAACAGTAGACCTATGGGTCGCTGCCCTGGGTGCAGTTGGCGGCTGGGAAACCGAGTGCCCCTCTTCGTCGTGTGGATTACTCGGTTAGGGGGCTGATCAGAAGGGTGCCGAGGAAGCGCGGATATGCTCATTCTCGGCACGCAACGCCGCTAGGTCAGTTTCGTGCTTGGCACGAATGTTTTCCAGGTCGACGGCGTGTTGCTTCCGCATTTGTTCGACCTGTTCGATCAGCCTCCTCAATGCTGCTTCACCTTCCATTCTTGTCATGATCTAGGTCGTCCGTTGCTCGTCTACTATGGCTTCGGGTGAAAATCATAAGCGTGGCTGATAAGAGATGTCTTGATCGACCCCACGGTGGGCGCTAAATGTTCTTACCGGAGATCGGTCGTAGGGGACGATCTACTGGACAAGATTGGTGAGCCTCCTTTGCTAGGTACGCTTGTTGTTCCAAGGCGGGGGTGGTACCTGCAAAAGAGACTCCGATGCTAAAGTTAGTGTTTGTGGATGTATAGGTCTCGTATAAATAATGCACATACCTTTGTATGAATTAGGGTTTCAATGGGCCTTGGACCGAGATCAGTTATGATCTATTTAGATAGCGGGCCTTGTCTTGGCCGATGTCGCCTAGCGCGTGTCCGAGATCGTTCTATGCTGTGATACCGAGCTAGAGCTCAGCTCGCAGTACGGATAGTACAGAAGCAAACTGATTTCCCAGCATAACTATAAATTGTGTCCTGCAAAAACTAATCAAAATTTGCAGACCAACTAAAAAAATTATTCAAAGAGGTCACGTGGAGAAACGGGACAGCAAGTGCGATAAATTATCCTCTAAGAGAAGGTGGGTGGTTGGATAAATTATATCATAGAAACTAGTTAAACTGAACACAACTGCACCAAAATGCGACTGCACATGATTTGAATCCATAAAAGGACAAGAACCGATTAAAGTGCAGTCCAACTCAGTAGTGTCTGTATATAGCCTGTATACTGGTTTGCTTATTCCAATACCATTGTAGCGCGTCAGCTTAGAGACACCACTTTCCTTTAACTCGGTCACCCAAACCAAAAACTCAATTGGTAACATGTGACATGCATGCAATGTCTTTGGTTTTCTCACTTTCTGTGGGTATATATTAAAGACAGATTTTTAAATAAAAAATAAAATTTTAAAAGTCTGGAAATTTTGTTTTTTAAGTATATGCATGACATTTTCTGTCATTATGTTATCGGGGTACATGTTTATCGATTTAATCCATATTGGTTATTCTCTAAAATAAAAACATTAATTGGCTACTTTTATTAAGTTCTTTTCCCAATTATTTTTTTTCTCGAATGTCATCCTTTTCTATTATTTTATTTAAAAAAAAAAAAAATCAATTCTATTCAAATCAATGTCATATTAATTGATCTATAAATATTTGATAATTATAAAATTGGAAAATTAATTTAATAGTATTTTTTATTATATTTTTTTCTTGTATATTATAAGATTTAGAAAATTAGAAATTGAGAATGAATCAAACTCATTTATAATAAAATATTAAAATAATTATAATATTAATAGTTAATTTCTTAGTTAATTAATATTTATTATTACATAACTTTATTATTAAAGAACTCCATAATTAATAAGGATATTTGGTTTGAAACAATTTAGAAATTAATGACTTTCTAAAACAGTTTTTAAAAAGTGTAAGTGAAGAAAAAACACATTGAAAAATCTTATGTTAGTTTGCATGAATAGTTTTTCTTTTTTTGTAAAGATAAGAAAGATTACAAAGATGATCGCAATAAAAATTGAACCTAGATCTTCGTGCTTCTAACTACTCAAACCCCTCCTCACCCAACCACTAGGCTAACACTAGGTTAGAATGAATAGTTTTCATATTTTATTATATTTTGCTTCTGCCGACAATCTTGAGAATTAATAAGAGTTGTTTCTTCTTCTTTCTGGCTCATACAAGCAAGACAAAGGCACAAGAAGAAAGAAGAAAGAAGAAAGAGAGGTGAAAAGAGAAGAGGTCGATGGAGGCAAAGATCCCAGTGGTGGATTTCGAGAAACTTTCATCAGATGAAGATGAGTTAAAGAAACTAAGAGAAGCATGTGAGAAATGCGGGTGTTTCAGGATCATGAACCACCCCATTCCACTAACACTCATGGCTGACATGAAATTAGTGGCTAAACATTTGCATGACCTTCCCATGGACATCAAAATCCGCAACAAATTAGCTATCCTCCCTGACAATGGCTATGTGTCATTGAGTGTAACAAGTTCTATTTACGAGGGTTTGGCAATCTCTGACATGCATACATCACCCCATGCAATTGAAGATTTCTGTTCTGAATTGAATGTCTCAAACCACCACAGGTTCCTTTATTTTACTATCTTCTCAAAGTAATATTATTATTTTTTTAATATGTTATCTTTTAAGTTATTTAATCACTATAAATAAAAGGAATATATATGTTAAGCGAGAAAAAATATTTTAGTAAAATTATATTAAAAAGTGATATATTTATTATTAATTTTAATTCCACTACTAGAAAAGTGTCATTTTCCTGTAAAAAAAAATATTTGCAGGAATTTTTTACGAATTTTCCTGAAAAAAATATTCGCAGAGATTTTTTGTGAATTTTCTTGCAAAAAAATATTCGCAGAAATTTTTTTCATGGTAAAAATTTGCAGAAAATATTGTAAGAATTTAATTTTGTTTCTTGCAGATTTTCTTGCAAAAATAAATTCGCACGTAATGTTTACTAAATGATAGAAAAATTTTGCAGGTAACTTTTCTTGCGGATTTTCCTTGAGTGGCCTTCACCCCCACATAGTGAAGTGAGCCAACCTAGAACCATCTAAGACACTTTCCCTTCCATTTTCTCCTATTCGCCCAAGTTCCCACCTTTCACGCCCACCTTCACTTTGCCTCACCCTTGAAGGAACATCCACCCCCCTATAAGGTCATCATCTTGGCCTTGGGAAGGAGCTCCTCTTCACCATTGAACTTCTTGGTCATCCCTTGGTAGAAGGAGTCCATCATTAGGAAGGAGATCAACTTACAAAGTCCTCCCTGGTTGGATAGTCAGCCAATGCATATTTCTAGCAACAACAAGCTAAGATGCAAAATCTGTTGAACTCCCAAGCTATTGTGGAGCTAAGCCTTGAAGGAACTTATATGAATCTCCCTTCATGCTCGGTGATCCATACAAACCATGGATGATTCAGCCTTGGGCCAAGGTCTACACTTAAGACATTGACTCTAAGCTTGTTATTCAGGCAATCCATAAAAGGAATGAGAAAATGCCTCAATATGATGTTGACAGACGCTTTGATCGCTATGCCAAGCATCATACCTCTTAGGAGCCCCTACCAACATCTACCAAACCTGAATAGCTTCCTTCTCACAAAGGCCGATGCTTCATGGTCTATCCTCCACCTTGCAAAATTAAGCCATCCAGCTCCAACACTTTTTTTTTTGTTAAACAATACTTGTATCATTTTTATTCCCCTTATGATGTTACTTTTCATATTTTGTCTGGGAATATAATTCATCTGTACAAAAAAGTGTTCAAGTTTCTTGCCCTTGAATCACTACAATTTTCTACTACACCACCACCATAACCATCCTTTCCTCCGCTTCCTCCCATAGCTATTGAAGAAGACCATGATCAGATCATTGTCAAACTCTATAAAACTCTAAACTTCTTACTCAATCGACAAGCATAACTTGAGAGGAAGTTCAACAAGTTGATGTCTTGACTCAACATCAATTTGAGCTTTGATGATGACGAAGCATGATCTAGCTTGGACATATTGTTGGCCTAACTTTTGTTGGTACCAAAAGGGGGAGTGAGCATATAGTTTAATTTTTGTTTAAATTCAACTATTGCTTGGTTTTTGTTAATTTTTGCTGGATTCTAGATTATGTTGCTTTGATACTTGGTTTTGAATGTTTGATAAGAATTTTTCAAGCTCTGATACTTTTTTCTTAAATACTTTGATATTTTTATACTATGATTCATCATGCATGTTTTCAGAGGGAGTTTCCTATGCACTATATATAGTCTAAGACTTTATATAAATTCTCTAATCGTCTAAATGCTCTATTTAAATCAAGATAAAACAAGCTTTGATAAATCAAACAAGCTATGATAAATCTGACAAAGCTCTAATAGATATGAACTTTTTCTCACATAAATTTGTTAACATTTATAAATGCTCAAACATAAATAAACATGCTTTGATATATATGAATGCTTAAATATGTTCAAAAAATTGTATGCTCTGATATATAGTTTGGATAAATGCTTTGATAAATGATCTAATACCTTAGTCTGTCAGAAATGTTATATTGTCTACTTGATAAAACTAAGAAAATATGACATAATTACGTGTCTTAAGAAAAATCTTGGCTTTCAATCAAATTTTCTCATATGATTTTTTCTTCAAAATCATAGATATATAATTTACATCACTCTGATAAAATATTTCAATCAAAGTATGTTCCTTTTAAAAATTCTTTCAGTTTTGTAATCAAAACCTTTTTTGAAAGATCAAAATTCATGTCGTCTTATCAAAGAAAATATCTTTCAAAAATAAAACAAGATTGAATTTTTTAAAGTATGTTTGTCACCAACAAAAAAAAGGAGATCGTTAATTCAAGAGACGATCTTGCATCCCTCAAGTTTTAATGATAACAAATGAAAGATTTTCTTTTAAACAAAATGAATTATCTGCAAAATATTCTATATTAGTGGAAGTGAAAAATGTATATTGTCTATAAGATGAAGAAATCTGTTGAAGCATATAATCTGTCTCATTATGCATTAAACATAAACTTTTTAAGTGAGACTAACAATAAATTCTATTAAATGTTTTATTCTTTAATAGATTGAACAAGAAATATGTCTTTAAACTCTCAAAATTTGTTAAAGAAGGAAAAGTCAAATTATTCATCAAAATCAAAAGAGACAATAAGCCAATAACCAAAATTGAAAAAGCACAATTAAGTTAAATTCAAGTAGAAATAGAAGTGAAAAACTCAAAGAATATTAAAAGCACAATGCAAGAAAATAAAGTACAATTTCAACACTAGCTTTCAAAGTAAAAGTCCTAGAAATGACTCTAAAGTTGAGAACAAAATGAAATAAAAATTTGTGCAATTAATTTGAACAATTAGAAGGTATGTCCAACCACTAAAATCAGATAATAAAGCAAAGAAATAAGTTCCAAAAATACAATGCCAAGTGCTCTAAATTTTGTTTTGTTTTTCTCACTTTTTCACAAACTTTTTGTATACTTTTTTTCTTTTTCTTTGTCTTCCTTCTTGGTTTTTTTTTTCTAAATTGAATGTGAGCAATAAAAATAGAGGGTGAAATTAGGAACACATTTCTTAGTAATGGTGGAGAAAAAGCTATAAAAAGTGTAAGTGTACTAGACAATTTTAAAGACATTTAAGGCTAGTTTTGGTTCTAGTTTTCTCTTGGTTTGTTACACCTCTTTTTATTATTTCTTTCAAGATTTGTAATCAGGTTTTAATATCCAATTAAAGACAAAAGACTCAAGGAAGCTTTGTCCTTAAATTGCTAAGTAAGAGCGAGCTAGTGAAGTTCACGAAACAAAGAGTAAAGTGCAACTAGCAATCTTTATGACATTAAAACAAAGAGTGATGTTTTTTCAAAAGAAAAAAAAGCACACGATGGAAGTAATGACATATAAGGACTAAACAAAATAACTAGACAAAACTACATGGAATAAAAAATTGAAAAAACACTCAATCATACACTTTTGTTTTAGAATTTTTTATGACCGAAAATTAATAAATTCAATTAAGATATAAGTAAGACCTAAAAAGAAAATTCAAGTTCATAGAATACCTAAAGCACACAATGAAGATTGATTCATATGAATATATGCATGAATAAAAAACTACAAGACAAAGTGAATTGTTCTATAGATTTATATATGTGACACAAGAATATTTCTAATCCATACAAACACAATACAATCAAGGAATATACATTGTGACTGAAACAAAAAGACTCAAAGAAGCTACGGAAAGAGTTTACCAAGAAGACCTTACTCTTGATACCAAATGATGGAAACTTTAGGAGAGACTAGATTGATGTAGCTTTTCCTTCAAGCTTCTTAGATTTCTAACACACAAGAGAAGATAGGATGTGACACCACACTCTTGAAGAGTGATAAGTCTCTTCAATTTCTCACCACGCTCAAGAGATGATAAGAGAAAATAAAGAATTTTCAGGAGAGAAACAAGTTTTGAGAGAGATAATTAGAGAGAAAATTTCATACAATTCCAATAAATGCTCAAAACTATTCATCCAATATAAGAAAAATAATATATAGGATTTGGTTGGCTTATGATGCAAGCTAGACTAACCATGATTAAGTGTAACCATGATTAGCTATCTTGTACTTAAGCTAACTAACCGTAGTTAAGTATCTAGAAACTTATGGACTAACCTAAGCTAATCCTATAGTTTAGAAATAACCTAGGTTAGCTCAAGTTAACTCCAACTACCTAATCAAATCATTACAACTACCAAACTAATGATTATTTTTAACAAGTTATTAAGATGTCACTATCAAAAGCCATGTGACTTATTTAATAACTTGGTTTGGCTAGATTGGCTTGGTTTGGACGTCTAAATCACTTCCATGAGCAAATGGATGTCCAAACCTATAGGCCATAAAAATATTTGGGCTATCCAAGCCCAAATATGTCAATCATGACTTTAGCTAGTTACACTTCTATTAAACTACTAATTAGATCCACAAAGAAAAAACTATACAAGGACACAAATTCTTATACTACTTGACCCAGAATACAAGGTAAAAAATAACCTATACACAATATACACAATAGAATACTAAGAAACTAGGAGAACACATATTTTAAATCCACTCTAGTAGCTTCCTCTAGCCTCCTAACCATAGACCTTGCCAAAGGTCCTATGGTCTTCAAGGATATTGGTTCTCCATCATATGTGATATGTGTTGCATGTAAGTAATTGTGTAAGCCTAAGGATGTGACTTGTGAAATGTGAATCATGTGAATGTGAATTATCTGTTATACCATGCATAGAGTTTGTATGACATGTATTATTTTCATATATAACATGTTTTGTGATGAATACAATGTGAAATACGTACGCTGCCAAGGAAGGTTCTCCTTGTGTAAAAGCTTGGGGATTCATGACCTTGGGAATAACTAGGTTTGGGAGTCCTAGTCCTGTCTCCTTGTGTGCATAAAGTGAAACTTGACCAACATAGCTATTTTGACGCACCACTAGAGTATTTTCTCCTAGTGTAGAGTGTTGTGATGGCTTGATCTAACATGAGTTTCTAGACTAAACCTCCAGGTAGGGATAAACGAATTTTACTAGCACCACATGTATATAATTTAGGAGAGATTTTTCCTTGCATGAACATAGTATTGTGTTTGAATTGTGACTTGATATAAGATAAGATGTGATTTAATAGATTGTGATTGTACGATTATTGCTTGATTATTATAACATGATAGGTGGAATAATTGTTAATGAATTACATGTATGTTTTATATTATGTTATTGTATGTGTGTGACTATCTAGCCATTTCCTACACAGGTAGTCAGATTCAAATTATTTCTCTCTCTTTTACTTTTGTGATTTTGTTCTATTGTGTTTTGAATAAGTGAATTTAATTATAGAAGAGTTTGAGTTTTATGTTGAGATCACTCTGATATGATGACATCAGAGCTTTAATTAGGGATTGTTTCTCTTATATCATTGCTATAGGAATTTAGTTTCTTTCAAAATATTTCTACTTTAGTTAGTATTCTTTATAATTGCTTTCAAGTTTAGTCTTGATATTTTAGAGAATTATAATGTGATACTTCTACCCTTATTATTCTGTTTAGTTATAATGAAATATTTTTCAAACTACAAGTTTCTTTATATTATTGAATTCATGCATGAAGGATAGGGAGTATCACAAAAAAAAAAAATCACCTTTATTAATAATATTGATATAAATTGATGAAGAATTTAAAATTATATTAAGATGTCTAAATTTCATTATTCCATATAAAAAAAGCCATGTAGTTAAAAATCAATAGTAATGTTATGAGTACCTAAAGGTACAATTAATTATTCATTTTAAAACTTTCATTTATTTATTTTTAATCTATTCATATCACGTTACTCTTGCCTCTTATATCTCTGTCTTAAGACGCCGGCTAATTTTTTATGTTCGCAAAACATTATTTCTCAAAAAAAAATAGAAAGTAAAAACAATAAAAACAAGAAGAGAATTGATAATAAAAGTGCATATGCATCACCCAATATCATATCTTTGTTTTCACACTACGTCACAGCTCACACTTTTCGAGAAATTATCATATATTTTGCTTCTGCCGACAATCTTGACAATTAATAAGAGTTGTTTCTTCTTCTAACCAAGACAAAGGCTCAACAGAGATGAAATAGGTCATATATAATTACACTAAAAACCTTTAAAAATAATAAAAGTTGATTGGTATTTTATATATGTCGTGACTCACCTTATCTTAATTAAATAGAATTCATTAGGATTATAAATGAATTAATGTGAAGCACTTAATAATGTTTTCATTTTTTATTATATGTTGCTTCTGCCGACAATCTTGACAATTAATAAGAGTTGTTTCTTCTTCTAACCAAGACAAAGGCACAAGAAGAAAGAAAAAAGAAAAAAGAAAAAAGAAGAAAAAGAGGAGAAAAGAGAAGAGGTCGATGGAGGCAAAGATCCCAGTGGTGGATTTCGAGAAACTTTCATCAGATGAAGATGAGGTGAAGAAGCTAAGGGAAGCATGTGAGAAATGTGGGTGTTTCAGGATCATGAACCACCCCATTCCACTAACTCTCATGGCTGACATGAAATTAGTGGCTAAACACTTGCATGATCTTCCAAAGGAAATAAAAATGCGTAACAAAGGCATCATCCCTGACAGTGGCTATGTGCCATCGACTGTAACAAGTCCTCTCTACGAGGGTTTGGGAATCTATGACATGTATTCTTCACCCCATGCACTTCAAGATTTCTGCTCCCAGTTGAATGTGTCACCCCATCACAGGTTCTTTTTTTATTTTTTATTTTTTTACTCATTGCTTTTTCTTAAAAATTTGTCTTAGGGTCTTGCTTAGTATAGTAGTTAGATAATAATAATAATGAATAAACATACATTTTATGGGATAAATTGTAGCGGAAAAAAGAGAGTCAACATGCAATAAAAAGAAAGTACAAAAATATTGGAACTAATAATAGATGAAATAATAAGTGATGTAATAAAAAAAAATTAAAAGAAAAACGTGAACAAAATGATGATAAAAATTAAATGAAAAAAAATAAGTGTACGATGAATATTTTTCTTTCAGGTTTAATTGTTTTTTTATTATTATAATTTCATAAATTTTACATTTTAATTTTTATGGTTAAAAAGGTATATATATATATATATATATATATATATCATTTTAGTTTATTTTTAAATTCTTGTTGTCTGTTGTTATAATTATAAAGATTAAAATAAAAAAATGATATATTTAAGAACTAAAAATGAAAGATAAAATTTACGAAATTATAAAAACAAAAAAGTAATTAAACCTTCCTTTCATAATAAATATATTGTAAGGAATGTGATAAGTTAATATAGTAGTTAGATATTTTATATATTCACACATGTGAATGATATATTTAGAAGAAAAAAAAATCATATTAGATTTTTACCGTATGTAAAAACTCATCAACATTAAACACAGTATTATAAGTAAAATTACTTTTTCACCTAGCGGAATAAATCTCCGAACAATCGGATGATTTCAAATAAAATAAAATCAGAGAGGACCAACAATGAGTTCCTCTTGTTTCACTGTATATCCTTCTGTTGCTTCGACTCCTGAATGATACAACACAAAGTGGTTGTTAATTAGAAACAAAAGAACCACTTTGTCACCGAATAATATTTTTTGTGAAATACACGATTTTTATTAACATTTATTAAGTTGGGTTTGTTTGCTTCTCAGGCAAATATTAGAGGCATATGGTCAAGCAATCCATGACTTGGCATCAAATGTATCACAAAAGATGGCTGAGTCTTTGGGCATAATGAGTTTTGATTTCAAGGATTGGCCATTCATTTTTAGGATTATTAAATATAATTTCACCCCACAAGATATAGGCACCATGGGAGTACAACTACACTCAGACACAGGATTTATTATATATATATATATTTATTTATTTATTTATTGTTCTTAAACAAGAGAAAACATCATGAATTAATTAGTCTAGATCAAATATCAAAGTTTATTTATTTAATTAAGTTTCACTTATTCACTATATGATTATATATACTTTTTATGTGTCATCTTTTTACTTGACATAAGACTAGTACTACATTTTTAGGAAATAATTAGAGATCTTGTCAGTATTGCTAGATCCTAGAGTTGGATCTTTTGAAAAAAAATCATTTAGGTCCCACTTATTTTAAAAATTCTTTTCAGCAATATTTATTGCATATTCAATTAATAGCCTATGAACAATTTATGAGAATGAACAAATTCCCTTTTCTAAATTTAATATGAATTTCTCTATGAATGATGCACTTATGTTAATCAAGATATGCAAATTTATATCAAACTAAAATGCAACTATATAAGAGATAAAGGAGAAAGAGGAAAATAACAAGATTTATACAGGTTCAATCATATACCATCCAATTTCTAATTCAAAGTTTGAGAGTTCCACTAAAATTAATAATTGTTTTACAAAATAATCATCATACACCACTACTAGAATTTCTCTTATTATATACGACTTTTCCTGTGAATTTTTATGAAAAATTTGCAGGAAATGTTGTTTCTACAATTTTTTCTGCGAAATTTTATCTAGAGGTAATACCTTCGTAGATAATATATTTTTGCAAATTTTAAAATTTGCAAGAAATTTTCCTGCGAAATTTCTTATGAAAAAAATTCGCAGGAAAGTTTCCTGCAAAAAAAATTTGCAGAAACATTTTTTTCTAAGCCTCCAACATGTGATACATAATTAAAGAAATTACTATAAATTCTATCAATAATCTTCAACTTTCAAATGCTCACAATGAATTCATCCGAAGCATTTGTTTCCAAGCGTCTGACATGTGATACATAATCTTTTAAATTCTAAGACTGTAAATTATAAGCCTAACACTCAACCATTTAGAGAAACCTGATCCTTAAGTTTCTTAGTGATTAAAAGCTTGAATTTAGGGAAAACATTTGACAGAAAACATTTTCTCACTTTTTGTCAATTTATCACACTCAGAATATTTGAAATATGAAAGTCACTCACTAAACCTTGCCCAGTTCATTAATTTTAAAATTTTCTGTGATAATTAATTATTTTCATACATAATTGACTATTTATAAAAATAATTGATAATTTGTCATTCATTCATAATTAGTTATGAGTTCTTCGAGAAATTTGACTTTCTCTAAAAAAAAAAACACATAATAGATTATCTTCCCTTATAATCAATTATTTTCACATGTAATTGTAATGAAACATGTGAAATAATCGACTATTGCAGTACATAATCAATTATTTTTGTTAACTATATTTCTCAAAAGAAAAATCTAATAACAAAGGGAAGCAATGGCCAACATCAACCAAGTACGTAAAAAAGAATTAATAACAAATTGGCCACCAAGCATCAAGCATGCATGCAGAGTATGAATACAAAAATTATATAAATGTAAGACTTTTTACGTTGGCTTAGGATGTGATATAAATCCCAACAACATAAAATGTTAACACATTTTATGATAGACCAACATTTAATATAGAATGTTCATTTTCTATGTCAAGTTGTCAACACCTATCATAGTAGGGATACAAAATATAATCATATGAAACTTTGGTACCTACATTTTAAGACGGGTAATGTCATACTTATTATAGAATGTGTCACATTTTATGATAAGTAACGTGATACTTGTCATAAAATGTGGATTTTTTTTAAATGCAACTCATTTTTTAAATTTTCTCACACTTCATAACAAATATATATTTCAGTACATTCTAGACAATTCAAATCAGCATATTGTTGTCTCTTTTAATACAAATGTATATAATATACAATATCTATCATTTTAAATTGAGGTAATGTATAAATTAAACTTCTCAAAACAATCTATATAATGTATAAGTTAATAATAAGGGTCATTAATTAATAATAATGTACACAACTCAAACTAAAACAATATATATATATATATATACACACACCAAGAGAAGAAAATTAAGACATAGATATCTAACCAATATACATAAATAAAAGTAAAACAATGTACAAAAATATAAATCATTCCTTTTAAATTTCCTTAAGAAAAAAAGATGCTCATCTCTCACAGATATCTTCCATGTCTTCATAGGAAAATGGATGGAGATTTTTGAATACCTACATAATTAATTCAAAATAAAGATAATTTAAACATTAGTCGATCATTATACTATTTGTAGAATCATTTAAACTAAGAAATTTGATTTAAAAAATATATTATCTCTTTGAGTCTTTAATATAGTTGGTAATAATGGTAAGTATGCGTTTCATAATGTAATAATCACACTCATGATTACTAGCCTGATGTGAGCACTATAATATAAAACAAAAAAAAAATCATAGACCATATATATAAATATATATATATATAT